ATCAACAGAGACCTGATCAGCTTCTTCCACAGCCTTATTGCACTGATTCTTTAAGAGGCACTTTCTACTTTCTAGTTGTTTATTGCATTGAAAACAAAATAGGTGAAAAGATAAATGAACTAATTTTCTCCATTCTTAATTGTCTTTGAGATTTCTTTTCACATTAAGAGGTCTTTTGGAATTTGAATTCTTCCTGCCTAATGCCACATCAGGGTTAACAAAATTATATTAGTATTTTGAAGCTGGACCTAAGACTCAAGATACAGTAGTGCATTCAAAGAGATAACACTCACAAATCCAGAATAGTCTCCTGTGTATCTTCATGTGCCAACATACACATTTGTCTGTACTCATCAGTTCCTTAGATACAAATACAGTAAATATCTACACTGAATATGGAGAAATAGACTTGCTTTTCACATCCATGTACTTACCTCTGTCAGTGACAGCAGCCATGGACATTTCTGGATTTGTCTGTCACCTCTTGCTTGATGGGTGTCCCTTTATTAGTCTTACACTTGTTTCAGTTTCTATTCCCTAAGACTGAACTTTGGCTGTTAGTAATGATACTCAGCTGAACATTTCCTCAAAGTGACTTGCCCTTATACAAATGAACTACCCCACTGGGTGAAACTGAAGGCAAGTTCCTGGCAGCAAAACTCTGCAAAAGAGGGGTGAGTCCCATTCAGAAGTGGATCTGAGGGTGTAGACAAAGTTGCCTACCAGAAGCTGGAATTAACAGGTGAGCCATTTTTTTGTAGTGCAGAACAGATATTACATCTTTTTATTACCACTAGCCCCAGAATAGAAAAGCAATGCTTTGCTAGTCACCCCCATGCACCAAGAGAGAAAGAGCATCTACACAAACGGCATCAAGTCATATAGCTGTGGCATGGCAGATAACTTCTCTGGCACCCAGATATCATCAGACAGTTGAGCCGAACCCGGTGAGGAGAGGGAAACAGAAGACGTCATCTGCAAAAGCTTGTAATTTTATGGATCTCCAGCAGGTGGTGATGGTTACTGTCATTTCCCTTCATGGGACCATTCTGTGGTGTTCCAAGGACCACTCTTAGACCCTTGAAACTGGATCCTCACATAAGCAAGGAAGACCCTCAATGTGTGTGAGGACACTTCTACAGCTGTGGTCAACAACTGGGCAGACAGTCTCAGGCTAACTCTAAGCAAGCTGCCCAGCATCCGGGAGAGCTATGACAGTGGACAGCTTGTTGTAGGAACACCTAGATATTTATGAAACTTCACAACTGAGAAGAGCTCTGTATTCATGTGGGCATCCTGAGAGCAAGACCTGAGCCAGCTGGTGAGTATCTGAAGAAGCTATTGGTCATGACAGAGCAGTTCCCTGATGTAAAAAGAATAGGCTTTTTCCAGTGCCCTGAGAAATCTGCTCAGTGTTATGAACTGGGCGTCACCTTCCTGTGATCTGTTCTGTAACTCACACAAGATGCAGCAAAAAATATTTCCCATTTAATCTGAAAAATGAGTAAACCAATGCTAGTTGCTAGTGAGAAGGTTTCCTCCAACTGACACACCCAAAACTAGCTTGCAGAGCAAAGGCATTACAAAAGAATTCTTCATATGGCTTAGCTAGAGATGACTGTGCTGAGTCAGTCTCTACCACTTACAGTTTCCTGTGGTTTTGTGACTATGTTGTAGCCTGATGCAATCTGCAGAAGTGTATCCCTGGTGAGCCATCATCCAGTAATGTGCACTCCCTGAGGACAAAGCCCTTGCCTTCTTCAATGCCAAGTCTGACTTGGGATTGTAAAGAGTCTCTTATTTGTATTCCCTGAGGCCAGCCCTCAATATTTTATTGTCAAAAAATACTCATTTTCCTGCAAGGGCAGAACAAACAGAAGTGAACATGAATGGTGGAGTACAGAGGGAGGAGGGATTCAGGACCCTCTGTGAAGGAGAACGTTAGTCATGGCAGGTTATCCAGCAGTGCAGTGCCAACACAGCATCTGCCTTCAGGGCCACTTCTGCTGCAAGGTCACCACTCACTTCACAGCACAGAATTGTTCCCCAGTGCTTGCATTAGTTCATACCTTAGGAAGAGTGAACGGGATCAACTCAGACACTCGGAGACTTCTTGAAACAAAAAGTGTTTGACTAATGTGTTTTTGAGTTCCTGGACATGAAACTCAGTAAGGCCAGAAATGCATTGATACTATAGTATCCTCTTTATTTCCTTCCCTCTGCAGAAGATATTTACAAATATGCAGTTGTAAACTAGGCTTTGAGTTGCTTAGTCTGATCTGCAAGAAATGGCTTGATTAGCAGCAGTGCTCAGTAGCAGCAGTTCCCAGTATAAAACCAGCAATGTGTCACAGAAAGCAGAAAGAGAAAAAATGAGTCCAAGCAGAAGCAGGGAATTTGCAACGCAACATTTCCAGGTGTCTCCAGGAAGCTGAATGTGGTCTATGAGATGGTGGAAAACTGAAAGAAAAAGAAAAAGGAAATGTCATTCTGTCATTCTGTCATTCCTGCCATCCTAATGCAAGGAGAGGAATCCCTTCCAAATCCAGCAGTTGGTTTAACCGTAACAAAATCAGGACAAGGTTACCACACAAGTGAATTTTCATGCTTCTAGAAGAATTTGCACATCCTGCCTACAAGGACCAAATTTCAGTGCTTCAGAGGATGACGATAACCTCTAGAAGGGTCATATATCTGGGTGGGAAAACTCTTTCTTGGCCTTTGTGAGCAAAATGCAGTAATCCAGTATGCCTTTAAGTTGCTACATGTCTGTAGCAAGGGTCATATATATGGGTGGGATCTCATATTACTAAAACAGCTGACCAATATATTTTTTCTATTTCTCATGCTGTCAATTATCTCCCCTTACAGAAGTTGCTTAAGATGTTAGGGATAAATGTGAAGGTGGTTTGTAATGCTGAGCTACTGGTAATATCTGAATATTTCTCACCCACTCCAGCAAATGTTTTTTTAAAAATAACCACCACCCTCATATGCATACCTCCTGAACATAAATGCATTTTGGAGGAACACACACAGCAAAGGGCACACAGAATGGTGGACGTACACTCACTCATGACTCCTTTAGCCACCAGCTTCCTTAGACCTTCATGATAATATTGCCTTTGGTGGTAGTAGAGCCATGCTGTATACATATGACCAGATTTACTGGGGGTAATAATCTAGAAACTTCACAGTTTCTTCAGAACACTTTGTAGGGAGACTCCAGGATATGCACTAGGTGATAGAGAGGTGGCCAGAGCAACAGGGAGCTAGGTCCCTACAGATGTCTCCCAGGAAAAAGATTTCAGCGTAAGAGTCCTGCAGTATGACAGTATTACAGTAGTGGTGTCTACTGAATGTACCACTCCCCTACTTTACCTCACTGAGCCAGCTGTGACTTGAGAGGACAGGCACATAGTTTGCAATTTTTCTCAAATGTCTTTTGGCTTATCTGACACTTGAAACCCAAGATGTACATCTGGTAACACCAACTCCAGCCTCACACTGAACAATTTTATTCAGCATAAACCACAAATTTGGACTGAGATAGAAGTCATAGAAATGGAAACATATGGAAGAAATTAGGAAAGACAGGCAGGTTAGAGAGGAGAATGAGGAGCACAGAAGAAGGAAAGTTAGATCAGACATCACAGAAGACAAAAAGGGACAAGGTTTGAATCAGCCAAGATCCCAATTTGCAGATCTTTGAGGATTTTACAGGTACTGAGCTTTCTATTCTCTGGCTGAACGATCTATCGGAAAGAGTTGAGAATCACCCTGTGGAAGTCTGGAAGCAAGGGGGAAGGCAAAACCTGAATGTGACTGAAAGCTTGGGGCTCATGCCACAGAGGCTGAGGTCTCAATCTCCATTTACAAGTGCCTCCTGGACTTAATCTGTAATGGTGAATTTTGTGTTAGTTCAAATGTTTTGCTGCTGGCACATTTGACAGTAAAAGGAAAATCCACTGTATGTTTGTTTGGATTTAATGGAGTTTTCTGAGTGTAGAAATCTGTATTTTTATTGAAAGAAAAAACACACAGAGCCTTTTGAGATTTGCTCTGTGAACTTCAAATTTAGAAAGGGCTAAAACATTTCTCTGTGTGTGTATGAATATATATGTATGAGTACACACTCACACAGATATTTACATATATATGTATGCATAATAATGCATATAAAACAAGCTTGTAGATACACAAATACACATCCTTAGCAACACATGAGTTTACAACTCTGACTGATAAGCACACCCACCTATGGCCTTTTTCTCTCTCCCAGCACCTTTGCTTTCCTTTCCTCTGCAGGTTACATGGCATCATCATACTTTACCAAGACTCTTGTTCAGTTTCTGTATGTGGAAACTGAAGTGTAAGAGATTAACATAACTGACAACGCCCTGCTACTACTGGGTGAGCTTTATGAGTCTGACTCCGAACAACGAAGTGGAATGGCAGCCAGCCACGAGGGTATGTGGACAGAGAGCCCTGACCCAGGCAAGGTGGAGAACAGGTGGTTAGTGGGAAGGACTTACCTGTGCGCTTACTTCAGTATTAATTTTTCTTAGCTAAACAAAACATCCCAATATCCTTGTAATATAATTCACACTAACTGGTGAGGCTACAGAACTCAGAGAAGCGGATCAAATATATTTCATGAGGAGTCAATGTGAAAAAAAAAAAAAAGCTGTAAGTGAACATACCTGTATTTTGGACTATGATTTTCTACTCTAAGCAGTCCTTCTACAGTCATCTCACACTATTTTGCATCACAGAAGTTCTATATATTTATCTTTCTGATTTTGCCTCATTTCTACCTCTTTGTTTCAACGCATGTGCTGTGTCAAAGTGCTTGACAGAACAATAAGTACCCCAAACCAGAAGCAGGAGCCCAGTGGACATCAGATTGTCCGTACTCGCTTTGAGAGGCTGTCTGGCATACAGTCATCACACAACTGGCAGGGTTTTTAATAGCAAGGGCGATGACAAAACCAGGTGGACTTCACTCAAGAGAAAGCAATGATTCATCTGTTCCTTTCCTATCAGTCATACTGAAGAGAGTGTTCAGAGCAGCTCTAGGAACCTTCAGCGCTAGCTTTTCTTTCACAAGCTAGCTTTTCTTTTCCAAGCACTCAGGGATTGGTCAATGGTGACCATATGGTTAAACTCTCCCCAAAATTCACGCGTAAGCTGTAGCTCCTATGGGAGGTAAAACCTCCATCAGAAGCAGAAAACCTCTGTCAGAACCAGGCATTACAACCATTGGGCACCATCAAGGATGGAGTTGATTTTCTTCATAGCAGCCCGTATAGTGCTGTGGTTTAGCCTGGTGACCAAAACGGTGTTGATAACAACACCAACATTTTAGCTATTGCTGAACAGCGCTTGCACAGCATCAAGGCCTTCTCTGTTTCTGACTTTGCCCCCAGGTGACTGGGCTGGGGGTGGGCAAAATGCTGGGA